GGCACAAAGCAGACGCATGTCGAAACGGAGCGAGTCAAACTCACCAGGTATCCTGTGTGCAAGCGGCACCGAAATCCGGGGATAATGCCGTCACCGATGGATTCGTAGAGTTGAAAATGGGGAGAAATTTCCTATTGTGGGTGCCGTAATGACAAAACAGCCAACCGGTGTTTCGAAGGGAATGCCAACGCTGCCTGGAAAAGTTGCGGACAAAAAGATTACGGTGTTAAGAGATACCGGCAGCTCCACTGTTATCGTGCGGAGAGATTTGGTACGGAAAAGTGAGTTAACAGGCAAAACGAAACCGGTTTGCTTAATTGACCGTACAGTTCGGATGCTTCCCGAAGCAGAGATTGAGGTGGAAACCCCGTACTTCAGCGGGAAGGTTACCGCTCTATGTATGACGACCCCCCTTTACGACCTTGTCATCGGAAACATCGACGGGGCGCGAGGACTGAATGATCCGGAATGTTTGGGAGAAGACCCTAAGATAGAGCCCTCGCCAACCCAGCGACCGCGACATACAGTGGAGGAGCATCCCGTGACGGATCTCACTAGAGCCCAAGGTGAAGCCGCGGCGCAAGAGACAGCGAATGATAAGATGATCGTGTTGAATGAGTTCATGTGCTGGGCAGCTGGACGTACGTCGACACGACCCCAACCGACCGACAGTGTAAAAATGCCGGAGTCGGCCAGCCAGGCCCAATGCCGTGACATGAACAAGCTGGTAAATAAACCGACAGGACTCGTTCAACGTTATGACCCGTTAACGGTGTCGGAAGTGACAACGATGGCTGAGACGCCGCCTCAGATACCGTCGTTGGAAAGGGCTCGCCGAAAAAGAACGTGGAAACACAAGAAGAGATCGAGCGAGCACTGCAACAAAGGGCGCAAGCGCCGCTCAAAGTACACAGGATAAGTGCTGAGGTCGAATTAGAATGTGTTTGGCAGTGCTGAGTGCCATATGTTGTGTTAATGTTGTGTTATCCTGTGTCACAAGTGTCGAAGTATTTGTGCTGTGATGTGATGTATAGTGTTGTACAAATTGTTGTAATGAGAGAACTTTGTACATTTGTATTGTTTGGAATGTGTGAGGAAGCGTTTTACTCATGTACCTGCGGTTATATTTCATGTGTGTGAGATTGAATTGTAATGTCCAATTATATTGAGTGATCTATTGTTAATGTGAAGTGTCATGAGCGACGGTTTGTGTTACAGTCTTACAGAGTGTGTGGGGACTGTTCGCGCTCGTTTGTGTGGTTTTGAATATTATAAGATAATATTTTAAAGTGGGGGGCAGTGTCACAGAACGAGTGCTCGAAAGGGGCGCGCCGCCAAATTCTTGCGATAACGCGCGGGAGAGGGCCGCGAGGTCAAAAGAAAAAAAAGAAAACAAACATCCAAGGCTCCCTGGGCGCGCGACTATCTCCCCTCGGAAGCGTGGCTTCGCCGATGAAACTCCTCACCCCACAGCGGCGGCCGGGCAAGCGCTGGAAATTTCTGGAAGGAAATAGGCGTGGTCATGCCGAGTTGAGTCATCTGACGCGGAGGGTATTCCAACCGTCTCGCCCTCTCCCCAGCCTTCGCTGCGTATCGCGCCGACGAAATGACGAGAACCTTCTGGAATCTCGCACGGAAGGTATTTAATCGAGCGGCCGAGACGAGAGAGCAGGAGAAGACGGAAGTTAGCGCCAGAGCGCGTAGGTATTCCGCCGTGTATTCGGCGAAGGTTTTGTCCGTAGGGACAAAGCAGGAGAAGACGGAAGTTAGCGCCAGAGCGCGTAGGGGTTCCGACGTGTAGTCGGCGAAGGTTTTGTCCGTGGAGACAAAGCAGGAGAAGAAGATGATTTCCACCTGAGGGGTGACGACTCGAGCTACAGGCAAGAGTGTGTGTTTACCGCTATTGAGCGAAGACGCGTGGCAACAGCTGCGTGTGTGAAGCCGACGTGTTTCCGGCGAAGAAGTTTGAAGCTTGGAGAGTGGCCAATTGAAGACGCGAGGTTTCCTGGAAGAGAAACTTCGGGGCAGCGGAACGGCAACAACGCTGGACTTTGAGTGAGTGATTCTCGGAAGAGTATCATTCAGACTTTTGTTTCAAGGACTTTGGACTGAATAGGTTTTCTATCTCTTTAGTCTTTAAGTGTCTTGGTTGTTCAATGCATGCGACTGCATTGTAGTGTGTATTGTTGTCAGTGTCCAATGTTTTGAGTGTGGCTGATTGTACTGTGAAGTACGTTGTTTGATTGGTGACCTATTGTCTGCAACTATTGTGGAGTGAGCATATTTGTGTATTGTTTTTTTGATCTGCCATTATTGAGAATATAATCTTGTTGGTTTATCAACTCTCGGCTCTGACTTGTTCTTTGGGCCCCAGCCGGCGTCCGCTGGCGCGCCAAAAAGGACCACTTCTAAATTGTCCACGCTTTCGCGGTGCGGTTCGGGGGGCCGATACTTCGGCCCTTGGAATTAGCCCGGCGATCGCCACCCTAATTAACGGGACCTGTGTGACAGTCACTCTGCGGTGCGTGGGGTTATGTTTCGATAGAATAAGGGATACATTGGCTCACAACAAAATTGAAGTAATGATTGCAAAGAAAAACGCAATGTGTTCAAGATAGTGGCTTACACTGATTGAGATAATTGCCCTTCATGATGACCGCTGTGTAGGTTTCAGCGCTGTCGTTGACACTAAACGGAATTATGAGCTCAGAGCATCAGAGAAAAACATTTTGCGGGAATAGATTGCCGGAACAATAAACACACGTATTAAGGTCATTCAATGAGGGCTAGAAAAAAGTTTGCAGCAGCCTTTTGTTTCTGCAAGTCGTTAAATTTGTTTTTTGTTTGTTTACAGGAACCCGGAAGACAACCACACTGCCGCCATTTTTACGTAAGTCAGCACCATCCCTAGCCAGTTTTTCAAATTTATGCTGTCACACATTGAAACGTCTGCGTAAGGAATTTCAAAAGAATGCTGTTTTGTCTCAAATGTTATATAGGACCTGAAATTTTTATAGCTTGGTTTCTACTCCAAATTCCTCCGAGTGCAAGACTGCAATGTCAATCAGGAGCTGCAGTGTAAGGAGTATGAAATTGGGAGCGTCTAAATGATGTCGAGAGTATTAGGTATTCCAGGAATAAATGAAAAGTTGTCGCACAGCGCCTGCTGCTGAAACCAATGTTTCGACAAGTGGCCTTCCCTTCTTCAACGCATTGAATATATTTGTGCCCCATGCGTTTGTAGAGATCACAGACCAAATTCCATTCACTGCAGTGCAAGAGGCGGGTAGACCAAGAACAAAAAAAATATATTAGTGCGGGATATTAGGACACGGCGCGGTACCTAAATGTGCTAGTCAATTGCAAATATGAGACCTTAAATAAAACGCATCGGTTCTTTTTTTCCGTCATCCGTACCCGCGCATCACTACTTTTCACCGCCTTGCTATAGTATACAGTGTTATGCGAGGGCGTCCTATGCTTCGCCGTCTCCTCTTCCTTTTGTCACCTACCGACACACAAAGCCTGTGATCACCCCTCTGTTTAATACATTATACAAAACTATGCCATGCTTTACTTTCTGAACTTTTTTTCATCATCCTCAACCTCACTTTTTCTTTGGCGTCTCGCTGTATTCTACTATACTTGGCTGTGCGATGCACCCGGTCCACAGTGCAGAGTTAGGAAGAGTGTTGCGCTGCCAACAGATACAACCCTACCTCAAGCTGCAGCAGCTACGCTGTCCGAAGAGAGGGAGCGGTGCTGTTTTGCAGGGGTTTTGGTTTGCCTCCGAAAGGTCGACGCTGTGTGGGATTCCGTAGAGTCATGAAACAGCAGTGCAGTTTCTGACTTTCGTTGTCTATTTACCACATCGCTTGCATCCTAAAACTATATTGGAAATTTCTCTGTTATCCGAATATTCGTAACATTTTCGATAGGCAGAAGCCTCCAGTGCTTTTCTTGCCTCGAGGACCGAACATTCTAACAATGCGCAGCTTTGGCTTGAGGATGCAGTGTCCTGCCGTAATGAATTCTCGGTGGCAGCTTTCGGCGATTTATTTCTCATTTTGTCTCACGACCTTTTTAGCCTACTGAAGCAAGACTTCCTAGATAGCAAGCAAGTATCACTTTAAAAAGCAATATGCTAAAGTAGGCAGGGTTTTATTAGTGATAATGAATACCGCGATGTCACATCAATGCGAGCGAAAATTGATGTTCCTTCTACTTCCAAGATAATGGTTCATTCGGTGAGAAGACATTCCAAATCACGTCGTGTTCAAATATTCCCAGAAGTTTTTGCGTATTACTTGTGAAAAATGAAATACCAATGACCCCTTTTTTCCTGCAGTGTATAGAAGTGCGAATGGACTAAGCTTTCTACTCCACCAATCACCATCCTAGCTTACCGCCCATGGCGCGCGATAGAGTTCCGGTAGTTTTGAAAAGAACGAATCAGGAAGCAATCAACAGAAATAGTACGTGCATCGACCTCGAACCGTACCTCGGGCAACCCTTTTTCGTAAAAAGTAGCGCGAGCAAGTTATCTTGCGAATCCACAAATAGCAAACACCAGTACCAGCGCTTGAACACTCGTGCTAATGCTTTTAACGTCAAGCTTGCATAATATACATGGCGCAATGGATGGTGAATATTATATACGTGTGTTTTGAAACACAAAATGGGGAAAGTAGAATTTCGTAAAGTGACTACATTCCTCGTGCCCTCCCGCTCTCTAAAATATCACGACGAAAAACGTATGCGTATAGAGAGCACGGCCAGTTTCGCGTGGCGAACGTGTTCAGCTCGGCCTGCTCAATTTGCAGAAGATGGCATACGCGTTAGTACAAATTCAACTGTTTCCATTTCTACAGGCACAGCAAAGTGTGCATTAGGCACCCTGCTCCCTTATCCCCACCTCAAAAAAAAGTTTGCCTTCAGGCGTGTGGGATGTGAATTGTAATGTTCGCTTCATCATCTGGATCTTCTTTTCAGAGCTCCCGGTTATGTCCAACTCCACGTTCCTGTGCACTGTGAGCGAGCCGGTCCGCAATACGAAAGGCAAAAGTATGCTCTACCTGCCTCCAGATGGCCTATGTGACGTCATGTTTTACGAATCTCTCTACAAGGACGGTAGGAACACCATTAGTGGTGGTCCCAGCAGCTGGGACCTGGCTCCGAGGACCTTCCTTGATGAGGCGTCCAAGTTCAGCCAGACCGCGATCGGTTTTTCCTTTGCGCCAGAGTGAGTAAACATTTACAACGAATGCACCGTGTTTAGAAGCCCCATTAGGATTTTTTTCCGCCCGAACGAACTTGCACGAGATGTTCTTTTGCACATCACGCACATTTTGGCGTAGTGAAAGTTTGCGCTATATATGGCAAAGTAGAAGTGTACGCAGAGGCAATAACGTTATTCTTCAGCTCTGAATTTGACTACAAGGCTGGAACGTATTGTTGATGCGGCATTGTGAGACTTTGCCTCCTTTCTTGAAGTCATTAAAAAGAAGAAAATAACATTTTTTATATAGTACACGCATGACCTAGCCATTCTGATGTAAAAATACTACGAACGTCTCAACGTGTCACGTTGATTTGTGAGAGCTCTTGTAGAAAAAAATGTCTGATTCATTGTAAGGGAGAAATAATGATAGTTATTGCAGCAATTGCAATGCTTCACGAAGAACGGCAAACGCTGGTGATTCCTGAAGGACGCGCAGAAAGAACACACACACCACTAGTGAAAACCTCCGCAACTCGACACCCCTGGTGGGGTGCCATTAAACACAAACAAAAAGAACGCACAGGTAAACATATAGCTAGTGCAAACTCACAACTGTCACCATGGTTACTGCTTGTGTTCCTGTCACGCGTGGCATGTTTCGAAGCCCCAACCACCCCAAAACGGGATGGGTGCTTGTTTGAATTTCGCATATCCACTTTCAAGTATATATATATATATATATATATATATATATATATATATATATGGCACAACGGGAGCGTTGTCAACAAGGATAAATATATTATACATATAAATATATTATATATATTTATCAACAAGGATAAATATATTTATATATATATATATATATATATGGCACAACGGGAGCGTTGTCAACAAGGATAAATATATTTATCCTGTTGACAACGCTCCCATTGCGCCATATGCCATACCTTCACAAAGACTAAGGCGAAGAGAACGAAGAAGAAGTGTGTGTTAGCACTTCGTTTGAAGATACACGCTCGTGTCTTTCAGCCCCACTGTTCCTGCCTAGCCTCCATGGCTGTTGCTGTGTGACAAGCAGGTGGAGGTGCAAAGTAATCTATGCACCGTACCCTTCCACGTAGCAAGAGCTCAAGCGTCGTACCAGTGGTCACTCCTGTGCACCGCAACAGCAGAAGAATTCGAGGGCGATTCCCTGAGTTTGGACTGCTCGCAAACAACATGGCAGCTACGACCAGCCCTACCGACACCAAACCAATTGGTACGAACGGCACAACGCTACTTCAATGCTTTATTCAACCTTACTTCAACCTTATTCACACTACGAACGCCAAATCTCTTCCACGGCACTGCACTTGAGGATGTCAAAGATTGGCTTGTTGCATATGAGTTTGTTGCCGTGCACAATCAGTGGGATGACGCAGACAAACTGCGGCACGTCAATTTCAGTCTTTTGGACAGCGCATGTGTATGGCATGAGAACCAGGCAGGCATTCTTACTTCATGCGAAAGCTTGAAAGGCCGACTTCTTGGGACATATGTCAGCCTTCACCGTCGGAACAGAGCTGAGTGCGACCTGCAGTCCCGCATACAAACGCCAAAGGAAGGGGTTGCGATGTATGTTGAAGACATGACGCGTCTTTTCTATCGAGCTGACTCCGGCCTGCTAGAAGAAAAGAAGGTACGGCACCGCAAGCGCGCGGTGAAAGAGCATATTTTCGGTAGGCTTGTGTGCAGTTCATTCAAGACTGTGTCAGAATTTCTCACAGAAGCCGTCACCATCGAAAGCACTATTAGGCACCAGGCCCCGTCATACGAACGGCACGTCAACGCTTCAACTATGGACTACTTGGAAGGTCTCAGTGGCCAAATGAATTTCTTCCGAGAGCTCTTACGTTCAGTCATCCGTGAAGAACTCCAAAAGCTGTCAATGCCCTCACAGCCCCCTATCTCCTTGTTCTCCAGTGTTGTTCGAGATGAAGCTCAGCCTGCCTTAGGAGAACCGTCTTTCATGCGGAATTATCAACCACCCAGTGACTTACCCCTAATGTCCAATGCTCAAGCTTTGCGGCAACCTTTTACACCGGCAATTCCGCATCCCACCGTGGCCCCAGCCATGCTGCAGACGGTCCAAGCGGTGCCATATTACAGCGCACCTCGCCTGATCTCCCGGGAATCGGACATCTAGCGTGCGCCGTTGTCACAGGTCCCGTTAATTCGGGAGGCGATCGCCGGGCTAATTCCGAGGGCCGAAGTATCGGCCCCCCGAACTGCACCACGAAAGTGTGGACAATTTAGAAGTGGTCCTATTTGGCGCGCCAGCGGACGCCGGCTGTGGCCCAAAGAACAAGTCAGAGCCGAGAGTTGATAAACAAAACAAAATTATATTCTCAGTTATGGCAGATACACAAGTATGCACACTCGACAATAGTTGAATACAATGGGTCACCAATCAAACAATGTACTACACAGTACAATCAGCCGCACTCGAAACAACGGACACAGACAACAATACGTACTACAATGCAGTCGCATGTATCGAACAACCAAGACACTTAAAGACTAAGGAGTTAGAAAACTTATTCAGTCCAAAGTTCTTGGAACAAAAGTCTGGATGATACTTTTCCGAGAATAACTCACTCAAAGTCCAGCGTTGTTATCGTTCCGCTTCCCCCGAAGTTTCTCTTCCAGGAAACCTCGCGTCTTCACTTGGCCGCTCTCCAGGCTCCAAACTTCTTCGCCGGAAACACGTCGGCTTCACACACGCAGCTGTTGCCACGCGTCTTCGCTCGATAGCAGTAGACACACACTCTTGCCTGTAGCTCCAGTCTTCACCCATCAGGTGGAAATCCTCTTCTTCTCCTCCTTTGTCACGGAAGACAAAAGGCTTCGCCCACAAGGCGGAACACCCTACGCACTCTGGCGCATACTTTCTTCGTCTCCTGCTTTGTCACTAAGGACAAAACCTTCACCGACAGACGTGGCGGAATACCCCACGCACACTGGCGCTAACTTCCTTCTTCTCCTGCTTTGTCACTAAGGACAAAACCTTCGCCGAAAGACGCTGCGGAATACCCTACGCACACTGGCGCTAACTTCCTTCTTCTCCTGATCTCCCATCTCTGCTGCTCAGTTAAATACCTTCCGCGCGAGATTCCAGGAAATTCTCATCATTTCGTCGGCGCGATGCGCTGCGAAGGCTGGGAGAAAGGGCGAGACGGTACGAGTTCCGTCCGCGACGGATGACGCAACCCTGCATCGCCACGCCCCTTTCCATCGAGAACGTTCTAGGGCTTGCTCGGCCGCCGATGCGAGGAGGTTCGTCGGCGAACCTACGCTTCCGAGGGGAGAGGGACGCGTGCCCGTAGAGTCTTTGGATGCTTGTTTTCTTTTTTTTATCGTTGACCTCTCGGTGCTTCGTCGCGAGAATTTGGCGGCGCGCCTTTTTTTTGAGCCCTTGTTTTGTGACAGCCGTATCGACGTCATATCTGCTTCCATTGTGGCGAAGCTGGGCATCTGTACCGACAGTGTTCTTATTGACAACTTTGACAACGCGGATTTTTTACGAACTCACCACCACCCAGGTTCGGTCAGCTGCCCCCTGAAAGTGAAGAGTATGTGGCTCAGCAGTGCGGAACTTCATCATTGCAAAGTCACGCTCTCCGTCACATCGCTGATTTTCTCCTAGTCCCCGTACCTATTCGAGTGCGGCGCAGAGTCGGTCACTCAGACCATGCCGAGAAAACTAACCACAGCAACCTTCGAGGGCGTGGCCGCTTATACTAGACAAACTCAAGGCCTCCTACCGATGCTTCCGCAAATTGACGATTCCCCGACGACGACGACACCAGCTGGTTTCGCTAAGATTTCATTAGACATGTCACTGCTGCTCGACGGTCGCAAAGCCAGTGCTTTAGTTGACGCTGGTGCGAATTTTTCTATAATAACTGAAAACAGGCTGCTTTTCTGAAGAAAGTGATGACGCCTTGGAACCTCAGGCCAATTCGTACTGATGGCGGGCGCATCGTCATGCCATTCGGCGTTTGCACAGCACGAGTGCAGCATCGCGGTTCTACCTTTGTTGTCAGCTTGAGCGTTCTTCGTCGGTGTTCTCTTGACCTGATCATTGGCATGGACTTCCTGAGGGAGCACGGCGCTATCATCGACATTTGACAACGGCTTGTCACGTTCTCGACAAAAAGCGCCACACCAGAGCATGATCCCAGACACAACCGAGTCTGTCTGTGTGCAGTTGACGATGCTGCGACGATACCACCGCGCTCAAGTGTTATGTTTCAAGTGGCCTGTAACAAATCATCACATGGTGAAATGGTGGCGGAGACCAATCGATCCCTACTGTTTTTTCCAAGGTGTCTGTGTAGCACGAAGCCTATTACACCTCCAGGCTGGCCACTGCGAGGTTCTTGTTACAAACTTCAGCTTTGAGCGCTTACACTTTTTTCCTGGTACTGTCATTGTCTATGCCTACCGAGTAACCAATGTGACTGAGTGTTTTGCTTCCAAGGCAACCGATATTGCCAAAGCACCTCTCCAGGACGTCGACATAAATCCAACGCTTTCTGGCGAAAGCAAACGAAGGCTGATATATAATTCCACGCTTGTTTTGCTCGTTTATCGAGAATCTGTCAGTCATCGATTACCAAACACCGTAATATCACCTACATCGACGCGCGTCGTATACGGAACAGCCTTACCCCGTTTTATCAACCGAACGACGCGCGATTCAAAGGAAGTGAAGGAAATGCTTCAAGACGGTGTAATACAGCCATCAAGCAGCCCAGGGTCATCGCCAGTGATCCTTTTAAAGAAGCAGGATAGTACACTCACTTCGCTTTTTGTGTCGATTATAGGAAACTGAATAACGTCTCAAAAAAGACGTGTACCCGTTGCCTCGAGTGGACAATTCTGTTGACGAGCTGAGCCAAGCAAAGTACTTTTCCTCAATCGACTTCAACAGAGGTTATTGACAAATGGAAGTCGATGAACGTGACTGCGAG